ATTCTGCCAGTTCCACGAGGTTGTTTGTGATGTTCGTGAGCGGCAGCTGCGGCGACAGAGGGCTGAGGGGCTAGCTCGATTTAGAGGGTCTCAGTTTCCTTGGCCTACTTGAGAACATCGGTGAGAGTGAGGGAGCCTACTATGCCCTTTTTCTGCGTGGACTTACTCACTTTGGAATCAGACATGTGGGCAACGAGGTGACCGCGGATCCTTTTCGAAGATTTATTAGAGCGGCATCTCGACACGACGGTGTGTAGTATGCTGGAGAATGTATCCACGGACTCACCGGGAAGCTGACGGAGACGAGAAAATTGCCAGTGAGTACGTTCATGGATGAAAAGTACTTGTTGAACGCTTTGACTACTTTGTCGAATTCATTCCGGTCACATCCTGGGCGAAGGGCAACTCGAGCTCAAATATGGCATCAGCAGTCGGGCCCAGAGAGCATATCAGGGTGGAACACTGGGAACGGGAAAGCAACTGTACTGCCGTACGGATCAGGAAGCGACGGGAAGAGTTGAATCTGTTCAACTTTTCATACCGTATGCGGGGACGCAAGCGTACAAAACAGCTGCATTTCGAGTGTGAACAGGAGACGGCGTCGTGCACCGACTACTACCGATGTGTGCTTGGACAATTTTAGCATTTTGAACACTACACTTCCCATGAAAACTCACGGAATGGCAAAACCGATGGAGTTGAATTTTAGCAAGATAAGATTTCATGTCACTTCTTTCTCACACCTCACATCAGCCACAACTAGTGCAGGGTTGACTGCGGCCAGCCATACTGCATTGCATTATTCTTCAAGGGTAATATCAATACATTTCTATGGTCGGAATAGGAATAGGAAGGTACTGATCCATAACAACAACAAAAAACAAGATTGCCAACAGCTAGCAGAATCGATACACCTCGCACTAAAGAAATGAATACTAAACTGAAAGTGATAAGATGAGGATTCCACGTATTTCACGTGCTTTGCACCAAAATTATATTACCGGTAGAAAGGCAAACACAAGGGCGCTTGCAATGCAAGACAAAAAAAAGACACTGTGCAAGCACTGAAAAGCGCTAACGCAACCTTCCATGTCATTGCCATGACACCAGCATAATATTCAAAAAATATATACATGAATGTTACACTCAGTATGGCATCATTTTTCTATTTGTCGTCACTGTCTCTATACCGTAGTTCCGCGCATATAAGCCCATGGGCCTATATCCGGATATAAGCCCACCTCCGTTTATAGGCCCATGGGCTAATAAACAGACACAAACACCGTTACGGAACCGATAGTACAGCATGTCAGTGCAGACTACATTACCAGTACCGATACCTACGGTAGGCGGACAACCGCGCACGGACTTGTACTTTTTCGCGTGCCAGCTGCCTTCAAAATTCGAATATAGGCCCAGGGCTAAAAAACGAACCATTATTACTATTTTTTTCCCGGAAAATGCATTATTTCGTATATTAGCCCATGGGCTTATATGCGCGGAACTACGGTAATTATGGCATCATTTCTCTATTTGTCGTCACTGTCTCTATATGGCATCACCTGTTTACTTCGTGCCTATATGGCTTCACTGCGACTTTCTCTAGATAACTCCAGGTCATTCTCTATATACCTCCAGACGCGACTTTCCCCAGGCTATATATATCTCCACTCGGGTTGAAACTTTCTCTGTATGCCTCCAACTCAGGTTTTGTATGGAGAAGTTGGCAATCTGCGTTGGAATCATACAGAGAAAGTCTCAACCTGAGTGGAGATATAGGGAAAGTCGCGTCTGGAGTTATATAGAGAATGACCTGGAATTATATAGAGAAAGTCTCAGTGAAGCCATATAGGCACGAAGTAAACAGGTGATGACATATACGGGAGTGAACACGTATAGAGAGCTGGTGGACTACTGAGTGCTACATATATGTTGGACTCAGTAGAGCGTCCAGCCCCTATATGATGTCCAACCCCTATATAGAGTCCATTGGTCCAAAATCCACTGTACAGAGTCCAAACTTGGAATCAACTGTGAGCTCAAAGTTTCGATGGACATCACTCCCTGTATAGAGTCCAGCCAATTGGCTTCACCCCTATATAGAGTCCATTGGTCCAAAATCAACTGTACGGAGTCCAAACTTTGAAATCAACTATAAAGAGTCTTTATGTGGACAACACCCCCTGTATAAAGTCCAGCCAATTACGCATCCCCTATCGAGTTCGAAAATAGACATAGGATCTGCTGTAAGCAGTGAATATTAACCAGAAAACGGCCTCTCCCTTTAATCCTATACATCATTCACTTCTCAAGATTAAAAAATATGTATTGAGGCGCCACTGCAGCCACTTCATTACATGAAAAACCCTACAAACACCATCCTCAAATCAAGTGGTCTCTTCGCAGACGCTGCAAATTACAATATCTCAATCATGTAGTGTTGCCAAATTATTGTGCACGCACACATACATGCACACACCCACACAACGCCAAGAAAATACCTAGAAAAAAACCAAGAATCGAAAGAGAATAATGGAGAGCCCAGGATTAATTATTTGTTTTCAAATTATTGTGCGCGCGCGCGCGCGCGCGCGCGCGCACACACACACACACACACACACACACACACACACACACACACACACACACACACACACACACACACACACACAAACTTATACAACGCCAAGAAAACACCAAGAAAAGAGTAGAGACACAATACACACGCAACTCCAACAGCCATGCAAACGCCCACCCATTTACATGTAAAGTCAAGATGGGTAACAAATAATTATACGAAACGAATGCATACGGGGACGGGTACACGCACGTTTACATACACGTAGTAGTGTAAGAGAGTAACATAGTGCAGTGGTCAGCATAATACTAGCACATGCTGAGAGTGCAATAGCAAGCTTCACCATTGCTCATGGCCATGCAAATGTTCAGCAGCACTCAGTTCCGCAAGCTTCTGAAGATCAGCACACCTGCAACCAATAGATAGCACAAGGATATGCTTATTACCGTAATGATGCATTGGAGCACACAACTACCAAGTTCTCAACGAATGTGATGCTCAATGAAAGTCAACCCACTCAAAGACCTGTGAACAGGTGACGGTGGGGACAATAATCTATTAGTAATATGAGGAATAAGATCGTTTGTGCACACTCAAGACGCACAGACACACCAACATACATGTAGTGTACACAGTGTTTCACTTCACTGCAACTAAATTCAAATGAGATGATTTGAACAATCTGTACAGCGTTGCTGTCAGCCACGGTCTTCCCCAAGATGGAAATGCAATGATTTGTTGTCACGAGACAGTTTCACTGACACAATGTCATGTTCGTGACATCAAAACGGTTACTTCAGGGAATATGAGTATTAGCTTGAGAAGCTTTTTCTTGTCATTGGCATACAAGCAATCCTCCTAGTCCTACTACTACTACTAGTACACTGGCACTGCGTTTGTGGATCCCATTGTATTTGACATCATACTACAAGAAGAGTGTCGTGGAGTTCACATAATTATCACAGGGATAAAAATACATTTCTCATGAAATAAAATAATAATTGATGATAGCTAGACGATCATAATACGATTGATGCAAAGTCCTTGCAGTCCTCGAGGACTATTACGAAGTCGTTGATTACTTTTAGTGCATTCATTCAAGCAACATCAAACAAACGCGATACGCTCCTTGAAAATGGAAAAAAATTCAAGCATAACGACAGAACAGCAGACCAATCGAAACGAGTAAAAGCTTCCTTACCTCAGTCATCGTCCTGCCATGTAGTTGGACAGCCTTTTGACACGGTGGTACAGGCAGCTCTTGTCCAGTCAAACAGGGGTATCCTTGTGGCGTCGAACGAAAGAGAGTGTCAGTGTATCTGACTCGTCAGATTGCAACTGTGCTGAACTTTTCTCTTTCTCCGCTTTCTGCTTTCATCCCTCGCTCTGATGAAACCGTTCAAACGTCTTACTGGCAGCAATGGCCAGCCAAACAGGGGATCCTTGTGGCGTCGAACGAAAGAGAGCGTCAGTGTACCTGACTCGTCAGATTTGAACTGTGCTGAACTTTTCTCGTTCTGCAATTTCTGCTTTCATCCCGCGCACTGATGAAACGTCTTCAGAGAACCACAAGACGCTTTCCAGATTTGATTTTGAACGTCTCCTTATCCTCCTTGGTTACATCGAGACAGATTACTGTCAGCAACTGCACAGCAGAATTGGCAGCCATGGCTGAAGTGAAGAAAGGAATGCGCTGCCACGAGGCAAGCAAAACTGAAAATGTGTTTGTTCTCTTTCGGGCACAACACACAGGACGGCGTGACTGGGTAAACTGGACTCCTGGACTGTGAATAGGGGACTTGTAGAAAAAGTGTACTCCTTATAGGGGATTGCGCGGCAGGATGAAGCTGATCAAAACTGAGGGGACTCCTGGACTCTGTATAGTGGATTTTGGACCAATGGACTCTATATAGGGTGCTGGACATCATATAGTGCATGGACTCTATACTGAGTCCTACATATATAATAGAAAAACACAAAAAAAAAACAAAACATCGCAGATGTTCGTCATTCGAAAGAACAATGCTTTTCGTTTATTTGAAGTATTCAGCCAACGAGAAGCGTACACTTCCTGTTCTAAATTGTACCAACTAAACATACCCTAAAAGCTGGTCGCTGGTCGCGCAACGCAGGTAGTCTGCTATTTCCAGTAAAATTTCGATGCAGAGCTGCCAGTGCATGGAAAAGCGATCGTTAAGACCAGGTGGTCGGTAATACCAGAGGTCGCTTAACCCAGGTTTTACTGTACATAATGAATAGTGATAAAGTGCGACACTGACAAGGCCGGAGTACCGAAACATTCAATGTTGTGGCACCTAGCTGCTGTCAATGTCTTGTATAGTTGGACGAGAGTGTTTCAAGCAAAATGTTGTATTCTTATTCTTTGTCCATGTTCACTTATGTGATGTGTTGTTACTTACAGATCAAGAGGTCCACCGCCTGGCATATCTGGAGAAGACCAGTGGTACTGATGGCAAGATTATCTTAGATCAAGAGAAATTGAGGTTGCTTGACACTCGGCATAACTTTGTACGGATAAGTGCAGAAAAAGTGCCAAATCAAGGATCTGCAAAGGAACAACAACACCCAACTCCACCAGAGTCACAAGAAACGGAAGCTGGGTTAGGTGGGACTGGATCAAATGAAGAAAGTACCGATGAGTTGAAAAGGAAATCAACTGGTGCAACTGATTCAAACCTGTCTGAAGCTGACAAAGGGAAGGATGAACTACCAGAAGATACTGATGAATCAAAGACCGAGGCATTTCAATACAAGCCGGGATATGTGTCCATAGAGAAACAGAGCAAGGCCTACATGCATCAGCGCCTGACTAGCAGGATTGTGATTCTGACTGGCAACATGGATGCGCTACTGAATGATCTAACAAGCCAGGAGATTGCAACCCCAAGGAACATGGCAGAATTGACCACCATCGAACATTCAGGAATATACTGCCTGATCCCATCTAAGGACGAAGATGCCGATACTTTGCCGATTTACATGATCCTCTGCTTGCTGCCCGGTGACAGCCATCTTCATCATGCTCACTTGCTTCGGTTCGCACTACAAATGTCTCTACACGTGGTTGTGTACTATGGCTATGAGCATCTAGTTTCCAACCAAGCATTCTCACTGCAACGCAGCACCCATGCTGCCGGACAACCCATTGGCCCTGATCCACTGATGAATGTGATGTTCAGGCCACAGCGCCTGTTTGAAGCCTTCAGTACGGAAGACATCGACATTCTGACTCTACTATCCCAGGTGCTTAATGAATTCCCAGCAGGAAGTCGAATGAGTCTTTGTCCTCAACCAGTACGCCTGCACTGTGTCTTGACGGTCAGCATGTATGTTGAGAATGCTATACGTCAGCAATGTCTGAATTTCATCAAGATCCTCTTTAAAGGCTTCTGTTTCATCGATCCATCCGTGTGTAGTGACAGATCTGAACAAACGACAACACATGGTGATTGGAGAGGAACATCACGACTTCCCCTGCTCCATCTCGCTAGTGTGAAAACATGTGAGTCATTTTGCTTGAGATCTGTTCACAATGAACACCTCATTGGCACGGAGGTTCCAGCGGACAAGAGTAGCAAGCCATCAACTGACACGCCTGCACAGTTACTGTCCAAAAAACCAGATCCGTTTGTTAATCCAATGTGGCTCCATGATGTTTGGGGATTGAAAGCTACAGTTGTAATGAAATGCGTTGAAAATCTAGAGCCCACTACTACCGAGCAGATGCCTAAAGCCAAGCAGCAACAGCAACAGCAGCAGCAATGGCAGCAGCAGCAACAGCAGCAGCAACAGCAGCAGCAACAGCAGCAGCAATGGCAGCAGCAGCAACAGCAGCAGCAATGGCAGCAGCAGCAACAGCAGCAGCAGCAGCAATGGCAGCAGCAACAGCAACAGCAACAGCAGCAGCAACAACAACAACAGCAGCAGCAGCAGCAGCAGCAATCTGAGCGTGAAAAGCAGTTCCAGGAGCAAAAAGGTAGTCAGCAACCACAGCAACAGCTACAGCACTACCAGGACAAGGACGACATGGAGAAGAGGCCAATAGATCCTGAAGCATGGAAGCATCAACAACAGCGTGGATATCAAGAGCAGCAGCAGAGCAGGAAAGAAAGAGTAAAAACCAACCACACACAAAGGGCTCAACAACCATTTGAAGGAGTTTCTCTTAAAGGAATGGAAGTGAAAGAAAAGAATTCTGCTGAAAGCCTTACATCATCAGCTGATAAGGAGATCCCTGACATTGTTCCACTTGGGGCTTTGGAACGGATCACTGATGCTTGGAAGGGGTCGGTTCATGTCACAGCCTTGCTTACAAGATATGATGACCCTTCCATGATGCGATTTCTCACTCGTTTTACCGGAACACCACTTCTAGTTACGCCTGATGAAGACTCTGAAGATGCTCTCTACGCAATGTGGCACTTTCAGCATGGAACTGGCTTACTGCACATCTTCCTGCTTCTCAACTTCACAATGGATGAAGCTCAGGAGAGACAGACTGCTGCAGCTCTGGTGTTTGCAGCAATAGCATTATCCAATGTTTGCCTCATGCCATCTGCCAAGCATGCCACATGGGTGCAGAACATGCAGCTGCTGCACTCCATCCTGCGAAAGGCTGTTCCCGCTGACTGTGGCCTAGTGCCCTACTCTGACAGGAAGAATAGAGTTGAGCCGGAAATACTTTCTGCTTGTCTTGTCATTGGCGGGGAACGGAGCAGAGCAGTTGTTGCCGATATACAATATTCAACAGAGCTTCAGGACCTTGTAGGCAACTTCTTCTCTGGTATTGTTCTGGCAGCTAAAAGTGGATATGAAGCCCAAGCAATGAAGCTCCTCTCCTATCCACAACGTTTCTGCCACAAATCCTACAAAGATCCACATCGCTTTGTGATGTGCATACAGCTGCTTGCGAGGGCCATCCAACTGCATACTGTCAGAATGTTTAACTTTGGCATATTCTTGCTGAACAGAAATCGAAAGTTCCTTTGGAAGCTCGACCAACTGGCTCGTTTTGGCAAAATTCGATCCGAAGATGATGATCCCGACTATGCTGATGTGAGAAAGATTTGTAATGAGCACCTGTCAACGTCACTTGCTGCTGGGAATACTGGATGTATTATGTTCCAGTTTGAAGGTCTATTGCAGTTTGAGGATGTTGTCCGTGGAGAGCTGGACCAACTTCCAGGAGATGATTTTGTCAAGCCAGAAGGTGATGGTCAAAAGAGAGTGGCTATTCAACCTTCTCCCCAACAACAACATGATCAGGGTACATTGGGCCGGGAGGCTGAACGTAAAATGAAAGAATTATGGAAATTGAAAGACAAGCAAGTTCAACGAGGAACACAAACATCAAGTGTTGACAAGGCAGAATCGTTCTTCGAAAGTGTAGCCAATCTAGTTGAAGAGGAGCATACGAAGCAGCTTGCTCGCAGGATTCGGGCTGTCAACGCATGGCTTAGCATCAATGAGAAAGAGTCCACCAGTTCAGCAACACAAAAGACACAGGTAGCAGAATACAGGAAAGGCCTAGATGAAGCTGAAAAAGGCTTGTGCAAGAAGCGTTGTAGTTATGCCTGTCATTTTCTGTGCCTGTATCCAAAGGAGGTGCCCCATGGTGACAGTAAGCATGACTGCTTTACTCACCGAGACAAGTGGAACTCTACTGGTGATCATGCCTGCCAAGAAGACTGTGTGATCTGTGGTGAACGCTGCGCTTTTCAGCCCGGGCACGAACACGATGCCACTAACAGGCGACACTTATGTGCAGAAAGAATGACGAAGCATCCATGCCCAGAGCTCTGTGAAGACCACGGTGCACTTAACTGCTTGACAGAATGCTCTCTTGTTCAAGGACATCATGAAGAAGAATGCCGGTGCTCCATTCCGAAAAGTGAGCATCTCTGTGATGTGGCATGCAGGTTCCATAAACAGTGTGAAAGCAAGTGCAAGATGAGGTTCAAGCACCAAGTTACTGATACTGGTCACTTATGCAACAGCACACATGAGTGCACCAAGCTGTGTAATGTTGATGGCGCCTGCTGTAAATCAACCAAGCCACCAACTGGAGGCAAGCAGTATGCTGAAACAACACCAGTGGATGGTTGGCGACGCAAGTGTGGAATACCAATATCTGCGGGCGATGTCAGGCATACTGGCTCTCAACACATTTGTGATGTTCCTGTTGTTGATCACTTGTGTGGAAAAACCTGCCCATGGTGTCGGCAATGCTGTGATACAAAGCGCTCTGTCTCGCACGAAGTTTGCAGTACAGGCCATGGCACTGTTGATGAAGATCATGCTGGAAAGCATAAGATTCAGCTGCTCAGTGAGAGACATCCAATAAGTGTAACCAGAATTCCAAATGCAGTGAAAACACCCTTTGAGATGATGCTCAAGATGAAGAAGGTTGAACCACTACATTGCTCTGTCATTTGTGAGCAAGCTGGTGATCGCCATCGGCATATCGTTGATGGTCGCCATGTTCTCCATTCAGAGTTCTGGAAATGTCTGCAAGTTGAAGATCCCTGCAGTGAAGACGTTGCAGTTACACGCATGTTCCACCTCTGCCGAGCACAGTGCGAAGTATGCAAGAAGTCCCATTGTGAAGAAAGAGTGACCAGAGTGTCTACCAACCTTGATGAGCATCAACCGAGTGAAAGCAAAGCTCCATCATTTCAGGATGGTGTGTTCGAATACGTCAGCACAGAAACGTGCAAAAAACCTGGCCATCGCTTCAAGTGCCATGAAAAACATGACTGTACGGGCCATTGCAAGCGTCACGTACCTAGTGATTTTTCACTCAACTTGGACTATCTCCCAAAGGTATCCTTTGGTACTAAGACGTGCAGCAAGCGCTGCTCGCGTGACCTCGGTCATGATATTGCGGAGGGAAGTAGCTGCAAATGCAACGGCCGTCATGCCTGTGGAGTGACATGCGAAGCCAAAGAGTGCCAGCAGAAATGTCGTGCGGATGAGAAAAACAAGGAACACGGACGCCATGACTGTGGAAAAGGAGAATGCAATGTTCTATGTGGCATACAGCAGTGTAGTCACAGCACCTGTGGCAACACTCGACATTCTACGGCGCGTAGAGCAACCGGGCATCATACATGCAGCTTTGTACCATGCAACGTCCAGTGCAAGAGGAAAGATCATTTCCACGATCCATCCAAGGATACTCCGCACAATTGCGAGCGCCATATCTGCCAAAGGCCATGTACTGGCATTGGAAGGTGCCCAGACAACAAGCCAGGTTCTTGCAAGTCTATCATTACAAAACCCAATGCAGAAGTACCTCATGAAGACAGCTGTGAAATGACATGTGGTGGTGTGTCAGTTAAGCATCTCTGCGAGGAAGACTGCGAGGGATGTCTCCATACTAAGGATTGTCGAAAATGCATACTTCCTGCCAATGATCAACACCAAAAGCATGACTGCGGTGGAGAGAGTTGCAAGCACACATGCGATGCCATGCAATGTTCTGACTGTGGAGTGATTGCTCGCAAAGGAGAACACAAGCCAAACTGCCAGATCCGAGAAGGCAGTGATTGTACCATGATCCCTTGTAAGGCTATCTGCTCCAGCAAAAACCATTTCCATCGACCAACTGATGCTGGCCACTATCATTACTGTGGCGATCACACCTGTGGCGCACGATGCTCCTGCAAAGGCCAGTGTCCGAACGTGAAGACGGGTGAAAAGGGCATGTGCGGGATCACTGTGAAAGAACCTTGGACTAAGAAAGGGCATCCGTGTGAATTCCCCTGCGGTGGAAAACAAGAAGACCATACATGTGAGCTGCCATGCCAAGGATGCGTCGGTACTCAGTATGAGAAGCCATGCAGGGAGTCCCCTACTGATGAGAAACACAGGCATTATTGTGGAGTGTCAACATGTGTATGGAAGTGCGCTGTGCGAGAATGCGTTACTTGCAAGTCAATCATAATTACAAGTCTGCAAACCTGTAGCAATGGTGGATTCTGCATGGAGCAGGTCTGCCGAAAAAAGTGCAAAGCTGGCCACCTCCATCAACACTCTATTACAATACCCCACAACTGCGAAGATCACACTTGCAAAAGGAAGTGCGCTCTAGGAGGCTGTCCAGGTGGCAAGGTGGGAATCTGTACTGCAACTGTTACCAAGCTGTCCTCTGCCTCATGCCACGACTCACAGTGCTCATTTTCATGTGGAGGAATTCAAGCTGAGCATAAATGCAAGGGCCATTGTGAACAGTCATGGTTCTGGTTTGGAAAGTGTAAGGCCGAATGCACTCTGGCTCTGCCTCATGCCAAGCACCTGTGCAGCACTCATGAAACTGGTGTGGATGACGACGTGACGGTAAGTGGTGCTCAACCCAATAAAAATCATTATTCCCGTAGCTATGCAGAAGACGTTACTTCAGTAACGTCTGGCGCTAGCCAGGGTCCACACATTAATTTGGTGTTTGTTTGTGCCGTCGGCAATCCTGGCGCTATCCCGTACCGTACCATCAAGGTGTGTGTTTGTGCCGTCGGCATGCCTGGCGCTATCCCGTATATGTCCCGTACCGTACCATCAAAGACAGCTGGCCACAATATTCAAATAGGGCTTTCAAATGCAAGATCATAACGTGAAGCAACTTGGAAGAATGGGTATGTATGCTAAGTGTAACGGGGGAATGCATGCAGTGCAGGGCGATAGTGCGGGTTCGAATCCTAGGTTATGTCTTCAAAAATAATGGGAGAAATGAAAAATTTATAACATCCGTATGCTTTTTTGCCTAGGTGATCAATGTGGTAGACAGTGTCGTGTTACCCTCAAATGCAAAGAAAAAGTCTTTCGCTCAGGGCCCTACGCTATGCTTTTTTGCCTAGCTCATCATGAATGTTGTTCGAACAGATGGAAACTGTTTGCAATACAATGATGTAGCCGATCAGTTCGTTGTGGTATGGTTGGGAATTGTAGCCATTATTATTTTTCTGGTTTTAGAGTTCGTATCGGAGCAGCCGTTCTGTAATTCAAAGCGAGCCGTCATGGTCAACGTCAAACACTATTCACATACACAAGCTCGTGGAGCGAAAGTCTCTCTGTCCCATAAGCTGCCACATACCAACTAAATACAAAACCATGCACTTAACACGAGCTAACTGTTACTTGCACGCGTTGCCCTTTTCACGAACCCAGACAAAGGGATTGGTCTATTAATATAACCAAGAGTACTCTTGTTATAACGCATGTACGAAGTCACTAGATTACACCCGCACCAGAGATGAAGACGGCAGCGCCAGACATCAATACGGTGTTTTACGGTATAAGGATGTCGTATAGCGTTTTGTACAACAGTACGATGAAATTGTGGGAGAAATCAACGACCACTTAAGCGCTTGGGAACGATGAGCATTGCAACAGTCTTATTGTGAGTGATAGTCAGGCCAAGTTTCCGAAGATCAGTAGCGAGCGCTATTCCGAGCATTATGTTAGCAATACGAAAGCATAGACAGGATGTGTATTACAGGAGACCCAAGTTGCTGAAGACCAGTAGTCATTGCTGATAACGCGCAGAAAAACTAAATCTGCAGCCTCTTTTGCCGTCGGACAGGATGCGTATTATAGGAGACTGTAAAGTTATGTAATGTGCTCCACAGGCAACCATGCATTCGGCCGTCAGCAACAGTTAAGCACAAGCACACTATCAAGATAAGGACAATTTTGTATTATTGTATTGTATCGTATTTTATGGAATATAATTTTACCTCATTGCCTCAACAGGTCAATGTATTACTACAAAAAGGCCAGAAAATCCGATTATAAGGAGATAAAAAGGAAAAGAAGGAGCAAACCAAAAGTGGATGAAGTGAGAGAAAAATAACAATCCGCAATAAATTCTGCAAATACTTTTGCCGAACTCATATTCAAACTGATTGAAACGTTTTTGCAATACAATGATGTAGCCAATCAATGGAAAAAAACATTTCCATCAGTTCTAATAACATGCACGATGAGCTAGGCAAAAAAGCATAGCGTAGGGCCCTGAGCTTCCAAGCTCTCTCGTACATGCCAGCGGTACAGTAGCCTCCGATGAGTTCAACCCTCATGGATATAGTCCCGCTACTACACCCCTAGCACTACAAAGTACAAACACGGTAACCACTGCTCTACTTTATTCATAAGGCCAGATTTATTGTCTACCACTGTTCTGTGATCCTTGCCTGCGCAGTGAATAAAGAAGATAGGTTTATTATAGCAACAAAGACAACTAATTGCACTGTAAGCATTTCCTACATGTCGACATGTATGTGTAAAATGTGAACCGATGATCGCAAGGCACACAACGAAAAGGAAAGAGAGGATTTGTTCAGAACTGTTTTCTTGTTACATTCATCAGTGAATCTACGTAACAATGGAATGGGGACTACTTGAAACAAATCTAATATGAACAAATATATTGACCTTTGATAAATACCCACTCTCATTAGTGACCACACCATCAACAGTATCAAATTCAAACGAGAGAGCTTGAAAGCTCAGGGCCCTACGCTATGCTTTTTTCCTTGATGACCTAGACAAAAAAAAGCATAGGGATGTTATAAATTCTTTAAAAAATTCCTTTTTTTTAAGACATAACCTGGGATTCGAACCCGCACTATCGCGCCCTGCATGCATCCCCCGATACACTTCGCATACATACTAATTCTTCCAAGTTGCTTCACATTATGATCTTGCATTTGAAAGCCCCATTTGAATATGCATTGTGGCCAGCCGTCTTTGAATGTACGGTACGGTAGGGATAGGTACGGGACAGGTACGATCGAGGGTAATACGACACCGTCTCCCGTACCGTACCATCAAACACAGCTAGCCACATACAGCTGCCCGCAATATTCAAATAGGGCTTTCAAACGCAAGATAATAACGTGAAGCAACTTGGAAGAATGGGTATGAATGCGAAGTGTATGGGGGAATGCATGTAGGGCGATAGTGCGGGTTCGAATCCCAGGATATGCCTGAAAAAATAGGAGAATTGAAAAATTTATAACATCCCTATGATTTTTTGCCATCAGATACGGGATAGCGCCAGGCGTGACACAAACAAACAAACACACAAACAAACAAATACCAAATTAAAGCTGTGTGGACCCTGGCTAGCGCCAGACGTTACTGAAGTAACGTCTTCTGCATAGCTACGGGAATAAATTTGCTTAACTCAATAAATACCACTGTACTTTTCCATGCAGCACTGCACTCTTCCATAAAAAGGAGTATTTTATAAACAGTATTTATTGGCCTAGTCAACAGTATCAAATTCAAATAAATTTGCTTAACTCAATAAATACCACTGTACTTTTCCATGCAGCACTGCACTCTTCCCTAAAAAGGAGTATTTTATAAACAGTATTTATTGGCCTAGTGGTATTTTATAAACAGTATTTATTGGCTTTTGGGCCAATAAATGTGGGCTTTGCACAGCAAAGCCTAGTTAGCCCATGCACACACATGCTTGTGGTGGAGTGCTGCGAGTGCGTGTCACGTGACCACCTCGTGATTAAGCCGCGGGCGCCGCGTGTGACCTGGCAAAATTTTATGGACAATCGTGGATCCGGCGTCTTATTATTTGGAGACGTGTTTTGCTGAGCTGTCTTTGTGCGAAGGAGCGTTCTTTGCAGTTGCAGTTTCTGTGCCAAGTCAAAGTTTTTTTCCCTCCCTCCCACCCCTTTTGAAGTGGCATTTTGTTTCTCCGGTTGGGGGGGGGGGGGGGCAAACGGGCCTCCTATTATGTCTGTATGCTGTGACGCCTGATGCCAGGCAGTCGTGTGAGCCCTCGGTGGGCGATTGGCTGGCCTCGGTGGCCGTTTGTGTGCCCTCGGCGGGCAAGATGATATCGGCCCACGGTGGGCAGTTTGCTTGCCTCGGTGGCAATTTGCGCACCCTCGATGGGTTGTCTGCTGGTTTAGCCCTCGACGGGCGGTTTGCTGGCCGCGGCGGCCATTTGAGCGCCCTCGGTGGGCAGTATACTAGTTTACCCCTCGGCGGGCGGTTTGCTGGCCTCAGCGGCCATGTGTACGCCCTCGGTGGGCAGTATGCTAGTTAAGCCCTCGGCGGGCAGTTTGCTGGCCTCGGCGGCCATTTGCGCGCCCTCGGTGGGCAGTAGGCTAGTTTAGCCCGCGGGGGGGGGGGGGGGGGGGGGGGGCGCGGTGGCCATTTGTGCGCCCGCGACGGGCGGATGCTAGTTTCAGGCATGCATCTTTACTCAATCAATTATTATCAAAGAGCATATTTAAAAAGGCGACGTGGAGACAATAATCTTAATAATGCAATGAATATAACTAAATGTCACAATTATAACTAATTGTGACAAGAAAACGTTCTGGAATACATGATTCGTCCCCATGGTTGTGATATGAGTGCGCATTTAGTTATATTCATTGCATTATAAAGAGCATATTCTTGAATATTTGAATTGTCCAAAAGAAGTCATGGCAACCCCAAACCCAATGTGTCTATTGTATGTTTGTGCACGCCATAGTGAGCGGTACGTTGTGCGGGTGTCTGCGTGTCAGAGCATGGGTACACCAGTGGCGTGTGCGTGCATGTGTGCGCTTGCGTCTCTCTGCATGAGTGCACGAGTGCCCAAGCTGAGCGTGCGGGTGCACTTGGAGGTGCTTGCATGTTGACGGGTGCAGGGGCTAAATACTGTTTATAAAATACCACTAAGGCCAATAAATACTGTTTATAAAATACTCCTTTTTAGGGAAAGTGAAGGTCAACATACTATGTATAATAAATGTAGTAGCCTCAGGATTTATTGCAATTACATACCAGTTATAAAAACCTCGGGGGACCTTGGTTTTTATACTGGTATGTAATTGCAATAAATCCTTCGGCTCTACATTTATTATATACATAAAAGTGAAAGAAGGGGAAAAAAGAGCGAAACAAAAATGGTGATTATACTACATGTATTCAGCGGGGGACAATGCTTACAGTGCAATTAGTCGTCCTTGTCGCTATATTAAAACTGCTGTCTCCAAAACGCTTGTCTACAGACTGCTTATAGTTATAGGTTTATTATGTAGTGTTATCCTCTTTAGAGAGCCTTTGAAAATGAGTAGTCTTCCATTATGGCTGACAGGAATACTATACAGCACTGAATAAGGTGTGATTGCATATCTTGCAAGTCACTCAAGATCTGTTGGTAATCAAGTTCAATGTCTGAGATCAATACTCATATTCATATCATGACTAGTGACTTTCCGTGGCAACAGAATTCTCAAGCATATTCATGTACCTGGGAAAGTTTGCTGCAACAAGGCTCATGTGCTGTGCTGTATATGTCAACCCCAAGGAACCCAAATCTCTTCTTGTATGGTAGAACTCGGATAAGACGTACCCCATCGGGGAATGGAAACAAGTACGTAGTATGCGGGTTACTTCTTATCCAAAGTTGACCCCGGCAGCCCAACTAATACGATACAAGCGCAGTAACTTATTTAAAAAGGCTTGAAATTATTTATTGCACTCAGAAATGTATGTGGTTAGTGCCACCAAACAAGGCTTCCCTCGTGGAAAACAGCCTCCTCCCCACTGTCAACATACTAAAGTACCTTTTAGATATGCCACGTGACCGTTGCCAGGGTTTGAGCCAATCAGAGCGCTTACAGGCAGGGCCAGAACTCCTGATCATGCCCTGCCTGCCAGCTCTACTATGATGCACCGTACTGTACACCACACACGTGATCATTCATACCCTCATACGGTGCTATTCAGGCCCTAGCTAGGGCCTGAATGGCACCGTATGAGGGTATGAATGATCACGTGATGGGTATACTCACACATTGAGAGACTTACCTGATCTCCTTAGCTTACGTGACCTGGAGAGACTTACCTGATCAAGCTCAGCTTACCTGGAGAGACTTACCTGATCAAGCTCAGCTTACCTGGAGAGACTTACCTGATCCGGCCCTGGAAGTACATGTAATGTGAAAAAAGGAACCAGTAAAGTACACACCACTTGGTCAACAACCGTGAAAGCACTGCATGCCATCGGTGTCTCTAACAAAGACATAATGAGCATCACCGACCATTGGAACATGGCCAGTCTCTCTAGTTACCAGACTGCCAGAAGCTAAACGTGGAGCAGAGAGTGACCATGTCAAGCAAGCTAACCGCTACTGGAGTTACAAGTAATATATACATCAAACACGCAAGCACAGCCGTTACCATGGTTACCTAGTGCAAGTACAAGACTATTATCAAATCCTGGAAGCCTTTCCGACAATGCCAACTCCCGCTACTCTGCAGCTACCTACTCTAGCAAGCTTTTTTGACGAGTTGTGTATGCTACCAGGCTTTCCAAGCTTACAGCAACCAGTTAGATACCCTTACCTTGCCTCTGTCAGATCCTGTGCCGGTTGTGCCCTTTCACAACATTGACGATCACCTCAGAAGCCTACATGTAGATGACGAAAGCCACTTGCCTTGGAGAAGCCACAGTACAGCAAGAGCCAGCTCCATCTGGTGCTCCATCACTGCAAGGAAAATTCGCCTTTCAGAAGTCTGAACTTGTCTCTTTGTCTCTCTCTCTCTCTCTCTATCTATCTTACTGTCATTTTTCACTTGCTTGCAAAGCAATTATGATGGTTATGGATTGATGAAGAGTGCGGGTTCAGACCGGTACTATGCCACAACTATGTATGTCGTATGTGGGTGGCAGTCTGGAAACACAATCAGATATGTACGGCCAGGGCAGGTATCATTGATTCAGGCCCTCGAGCATAGCCCTCGGCCTTCGGCTTTGGGCTACGCTCTCGGGGCCTGAATCAACGATACTGCCCTGACATCCATGTTTGATTCATACGTCAAGCTAATCTGTCATGTGTACATGTGAGCGAAAACCTCTAAATTGTACGTAGTATGCGAGGCTAGATCTGTTGGGACCTGCTGAACAGTCCGTCATACACGAGTTGTACGTCTTATCCGAGTAAATCGTAACCGTACACATTTGTATATGCGCTTATGGGAGGAAAATTTGCGCGACGAAAAAGGACCGTACTATAAAAGCAGGTGACGTACAAAGTGAGTTTCACTGTACCATAAAGTACCGTTGATCCGCCCCCCCCCCCCCCCCCCACGCCATGTCGCTTCCCAGCTGTTTTCGGCAGGGCGCGGGAATTAGATCAAGGCTGACAAGTGCAGTACGATGTACAACAATGTGGAAGATCAGACTCGATGTGTTGGATTGTGCACATTTGCATCCTGCACTGGCACCGTATTGTGTACAGCAGTGCATGAGTCGGTTCAGCATCGTATTTCGTTGTATACGCCGAAGTCGCTTCACAGGCAGAAAATCGACAGGGCGCGGCAATTAGAGAGGGGGCGGATCAACGGTACTTTACGGTATACTTCAAGTATGTGTGTCACTGCTTCGTATGCTAGATAGTGTCACCACTTTCCTCTAAGACTAAGGGCTGATAATACATGTACTTCCTTCATTACACTGCATCTCACAATACCAGTGTTACCAAGGGTAAATATTAAATATGTTCCCAAGAGTGTGCAACTCTGAATATGGGGTCTCCGACGGCGAAAACTCACATCAAGTGTCTCGGGTACGTTTCGTACTACGTACAAGCGAAGGATAGCTAGCGTGCAATCCGAATATCTGCCAATATCATGCTGGCGAGTTGCAAACGCACAGTGAGTTTCTGCCAGAGAGTGCTTTGGTTATTACTACGCTGCTCGCTGAAAACGGGCTGGAAACGTGCAACTGGAACACTACACCACGTCGCAGTCGACGAACCCCATAGAAAGTGTATCAGAAGTTGCACACTCAGTGGGAGCTTATATACTCTTGGTATTACCCTGAAGAAGGGCCATGCCTGAAATTTAGTAACTTTGCAATTTGAAGCATTCAGCGAAGAGGCTGTGCATGGTGGAGTGCAGTAGGTTGTTAAAGGGGAAGTTCACCCTAAAATGACAACTTAATAACCTGTAGCGAAAAATGCACTGATTCCAATGGTGAAGGTCCCAGGTTGATCGGAGCAGGCGTTCCCGAGTTATACCAGCTTGACGTTTGCACTAAATTTGGTGACATCATGATGACGGCATTAACTTGCCCAGACCAGGGCAGATTTATGACATCAGAGAGATAGACTTTGTATGGGACTCAGTAGATGGTGAAATTTCAGTATTTTGGCTCTCCATTGTCCCAAAGAAGTCGGATCTTTTTCAAACTTCGGTATGGGACATATAGCACCAAGAGTACATAACCCCCCAGAGTGTGCAACGCCTGATACAGCTCTGCATAGGGTCTTGGTCGAGCGTAATCGGATCTTTGCGTCATAATACCGTACACATCTGAGGGGAACCCGGGGAGTCGCGGGTACTCTCGGATCAAAAACAATGATGCCCTGCCTCGAGACCGGCCTTGCGCCGGTGTGGAGTGTACGCATGACATCAGAAGATCCGATTCCGCTCGACCAAGACCCTATGCAGAGCTGGATCGGCGTTGCACACTCTGGGGTACTAGTATGTACTCTTGATAGCACCCTACCGGCATCCCGACTGGAAAAAAATTCTACTATGAAATTCATTGTTGCAGAGATACAAGAAAGAAATTGGTGTTTCTCCATCTGCTCCCATACAAAGTCTATCTCTCTGACATCACAAATCCGGCCTAATCTGGGCAAGATTATGACGTCATCACGATATCACCAAATTGAGTGCAAACATCAAGCTGGTATAACTTGGGAACGGCTGCTCCGATCAACGTGGGACCTTCATCATTGGAATCAGTGCATTTTTCACTACATGTGAAGTTTTCATTTTAGGGTGAACTGCCCATTTAATGAGTTGCCAGGTCGAAGTTGCATACATTGTAGGAAGAGAAGATCGTAAAAAATGTCTAAACAATTCTTCATATTCGGACAGAAACATGAACAGAAAGAAACACCTAACAAAAATTCACGGTTCGCGTGAGACTTGGCTGGAGGCCGAGTTTTCTGCATCCGTAGGAACACCACCACCATCACCATAGGAACGCCACCACCATGACCATAGGAACGCCACCACCCTCTATGGATCACCTAAACAAACCTACAATATCAATAATGTGTGTGTGTGTGCATGTATTGTACCGTTCTTTACTCCAGATTCTCAAGGCACTGAAGACTGTGAAGGCGTCCAACTCTAAAGCAACTGGCGAGGTCGTGTATGATCTCGCGGCACAGAAACTTGGACCCCAAGATGCTGCCGCGGGTGGTCAAGGACCCAGGTTGAAGCAAGAGGTGGAGAGGATCCGAAACAAAAGTCAACTTCTGTACAACAAGTACTGGCCGGACTCACCTGCGAAACACCCATCTAAAGAAGATATGAAGGTACCACTTGGCATTGAGTAGCTATGGCAAAGATTGTTCAACCAATGATAACTTAAAACAAACAAAAAATTGATGCTGAGCATGAATAGGAAATCAATTCACATACACCCCATAGCACACACACACCTTGGACCTTGGACGCGCTGCCATATTCTGGCTATGCGGACCCCATGGGGGGTTGAGCAGGTTCGGAACAGTAGGGGCGATGACGGGATAGGTCCTGTGGTCTACTAAAACGCCGACCGCAATTGCAAACGATGCAGAAGGAGCTACGGTCTGTGTTGGTTGCTCTGGCCGAGCCACGGCTGCACTTGTGACGTTTCATGCCTTGGCGCGATAGCACACAGCGGTTGCAGCGGGCGCAGTGGAAGCTGCAGCGTTCGCAGGACATATTGTCACACACACACACACACACACACACACACATACACACACACACACGCACACACACACACACTGTCAAACTGCAGTCAATCCAAACTGCAGGCATCAATGAAGGGTTTTTGTCCAGAGTCTGAGGTAAAGTGCAATGCCCAATCAGTCATAAATCCATTTTCTTCTTTTGCCTGAATCATGGTAATTCCGTTGTGGTCTTGATGGCACCAGTCCCTCCATCAATAGGTGGTGTACTGTGCATGTCTACATTGCTGGGTTATTCATAATACTGTACCGATTTCGTATACTCAAAAACAGTGTGTGTGTGTGTGTGTGTGTGTGTGTGTGTGTGTGTGTATGTATGTGCGTGCATGCATGCGTGCGTGCATGCGTGCTTGTGTGCGTGTGTGCGTGCATGTGTGTGTGTGTGTGAGCGCGCGTACGTGTGTGTGCGTGCCTGTGTGTGAATGTATGGTTTTTCATTGCACATCATTAACTCTCCAGAAAGCCAGCAAGGAGTGGCCCCCCTTCAAAGTTTACCATGAGAATTTCTTTGAGGATCCGGAGCTAGGTCCAGATCAGCTGACAAAACCTGGTGCACAACACTGAATAAGCAGAACGATGATGGCTGCCAGGTAACTAGAGAAGCTCACTGTCATTTGCTCTTGGGTTGATTGGTTCATGTTATGCTGATATAAAGGTGTTAGGCCCACAAGTTCATGTATGCACGCACTCTCACACCAACCGACCTTTCTCACACATATGCATGTACACACGCACTCATACACACGGCATGCACCCTTTCCCGCTTCACACTTCTCGTATTATTCATTTGGCCTGGGTAGCTACATTCGCGCTCTCGTACATCCATTGCCATAGCTACCCAGGCCCGTTATAGCCTTGTGTTTTGCTCACCTTTCACTCTCTCTCGACTGACTGACGATCTTGCCCAGAACTCGATTCGCTCGTCCGTCTGTTGTCCCGTCGGCTGTTGTGAAATACCCAACATTGGCACCCAACGTGGGGCTCGAACCCACGACTCTGAGATTAAGTTCAGTCGGTAGAGCATGAGACTCTTAATCTCAGGGTCGTGGGTTCGAGCCCCACGTTGGGCGCCAATGTTGGGTATTTCACGACAGCCGACGGGACAACGGACGGACGGAGCGAATCGAGTTCTGGGCAAGATCGTCAGCCAGTCGAGAGAGAGTGAAAGGTGAGCAAAACACAAGGCTATAAAGGGCCTGGGTAGCTATGGCAATGGATGTACGAGAGCGCGAATGTAGCTACCCAGGCCAAATAAATAATACGAGAAGTGTGAAGCGGGAAAGGGTGCATGCCGTGTGTATGAGTGCGTGTGTACATGCATATGTGTGAGAGAGGTCGGTTGGTGTGAGAGTGCGTGCATACATGAACTTGTGGGCCTAACAAAGGGAAGGGAAGGAGAGAGAGACTCGAGGGCAAGAAGAGACAGGGGTAAGGAGGGACAGGAGGCAAGAGGGGCAGGAGAGAAATAGTGAAAATAATGAACAAGATACTGTGCAGATGTGATCAACGACTCGGGGTGTTCAGGTATACAAGGAGAGCACAATATTAGTTGGTTCACAAGAGCCAAGTCAACACTGGTAGGGAGGGGCAGCTCCTGATCAGTCCAGATGCCAGTCGAGGTCACGAGCGTGGAATTTGAGTACCATTACAGTACAAAAAGAACAACAGACGATATAAGGAGAAGGACAAAATGTTACGAGTTATGACTAACTGTCCACCAACGTTACCAGATCATATACAGTCAGCGAGTGCGACAAAATGGCGACCTGACACCTAGCTCCAATACTTCTCCAAGGCGCAAACCAACAACCTTCCAACTTGGTAGGCTCAGGTTCGGAAAAGTCCAAGAGGGGAAGGAAAGCGCAACAAAGAAGAGCACGAGCTACGCCCCACGGCAACAAAGAATGCCGAAAGTTACTGGATGATGACGAAACTAGTAAGACTATTGGACATACCGGCCTTACTACAACTCGACGACGCAAAGCCACAGACCACCCAACTTCGGAGGCTCAAGCGTATGTAATAAACATAGAGAGGAAAGGCTAAGTGAACGCTCGCTGACTGTATAATATTATGATCTGGTTACGTTGGTGGACAGTTAGTCATAACTTGTAACATTTTGTCCTTCTCCTTTTTCACCGTAGTTAAATTGGCTCACCGTCCGAGTTCAACAAAGGATACAAGTGAAGATTCTCCCACTCATTATACTGTTGTGCAGTCAGCGGCGGGCTCTGGTATTAGCAGCCACCTGATTTCAACAACCTTTTTTTCCATGCACCAGCGGTTATGCATAGAAATTGCACTGGAAACAGCAGACCACCTGCGTTGCATGACCAGCGACCGACTTTCAGTGCACCAGGTGCCATATCTGACTTGCATACAGAGACCACGAGTGCTGTCCTGGCTGGTAGGCTCGATTGCAACAGGGATGAAGTCCGCTCAGAATTGAGTGCATGGAGCCAATGGAAGTAACAAGTGACAGTTCAGGGTGCGCTGCATGCACTTGAGGAAGGTGTGATACGTCATGGGTGCTTCATCTGCGTGAAGGTGTTCTATGCCCAACACCTGTCAATATGAGTACATGTACATGGAAGTTTGTGCATGAGCTAGTATTCCGTGAATGCATCGGACCTTGTTCTAAAGACCACCTGGCTTTTAACGAACGCTTTAGCCTGCAGCATGGGGTGGTCACTTAAAAACAATATTAGGGCTGAAACGATTATACCAATTACTTGGTAGTTACTCATTAGAAAAGATAATTATCAAAGCATTCGTGATAATGTTTATCCAGCCGGTCTTGTTGATTTCCGTTCTAAAACTATTGTCGCCTCATCGCCTCTTTAAAAGATATCAAACGATTACTATTTTAACAGGGAAAGTATACCCTAAAATCAAATTTTCTCCAGTTGTAGTCTTCGGGGTGCTGAGTCAAATGGTCTTGGTCCGAGGAAGGCGAAGCTGAGACGCTCCCTTCCTCCTTTATTAACTCGCGCACTTCCACCGAAACTGGGTGACTGCGCCCTACTAGATGGGATCTGTATACAAAAGTCACTAAAATCGCCGTTTCGTTCTTATAAAAGCACGGATGACCGCGATTTGCCCATATGTTGTAGTCTTTTGGACGCTGAGTCAACTGGTTCCGGTCCGAAAAAGCTGCAGTGCAGCGTTCGGCCCTTATTCCCAATCGAACACGGGTGAGTAAGCGGTCACGTGTTCATGCGTACACCAGTCACCAGGTCACCGTGCCTGCAGGCTACAGCTTTTGCAGCTTTTCTGTCACTCGAGTTGAACCTTTGAACCTTTGAGTTGAACCTTGGTGTGAAAGTTGTAGCCTGCAGGCACGGTGACCAGGCGACATCCTTCATCAGTTGAGCTTCAGTGTGTGGTGAGCAACCAATTTTCCTTTACAAATCATCGCCAAGTCGCTACCACTATTTCATTTGAAGCAAAAACACAATATTCAGTGAAGGGACTTAAAGGACTCTGTAGTCGCCCTCGTCACAACTCGTCCACCACAATAAAAAACTGAACTCATTTATATAGTGCTCTTTCTCTTTATCTCTCTCTCTCTCATTGCTGCTGATCATGATAAGTAAAGAGAGCTCATTTTTGAATGTATGTGTATTCAGTCGTTTATGCTCCATGGGCCATTCTCACACTATTATGGTTCTAGCCAAAAAAACATAGTGGAGGGGGAGGGATGTCGCGTCGTGGTCGTTGCATAAACCGATGGACAAGAACATTTTTAAAATAATAAGACTCTGACGAGAATACTTGGTTGGGAGATTTATTGATCGACTGAAAGACTGAATACTCTAATTTCAGAAATTTTCGGTGCTCAATATTTTCGGTATGAGGGCAACAGGTTAGGTTAGGTGAACAGAAATTTTCGGTACAGAGAAGCAGTTCCCTATTGGTTTATGTGTGTTAGTGTTTGTTCGGTGTATTGAAATTTTAGGTATGAAACAAACGCACCGAAAGTACCAAAAATAAAAGTACACCGAAAATTTCTGAAATTACAGTACTTCTCTCGTTTGTATTCTAATCTGAGAGAGAAGCCTAACTGGTAGTTCTCTGGATAGGAAAATATTCATCTCTGCTTGGATGGAGGAGCACCAGGTTTCTTTTCCTTGTGTGATGATCTTGTTGGTATAGAAAATAAAATTTAATATGGCAGCTGTACCAGGAAAAATATCATGCGTAAAAATAAACAAAAGTCTCCGTCGTGAGATTCCCGACAGGGGAGGGGAAACAAACAGTTAACACATTTTTCATGTTGAAGTCCTGCTTGGAAGGGAAGGATTTTCCGACCTTGCTGCGACCCACAGTTACATGTACCAGGAGAACGTTGGTGCAGTGCATGTGATTTTCGGTTTGACCACTTTGGTGGTAGGTCTTATCTACCGCATTTTCCGGGTTGTTAGCCGCACTTTAAAACGCCTGAAAAAAACTCAAAAATCGCCCCTGCTGCTTAGACTCCAAATGCTGGCCATGAATCAACCAGTGATACGGTGCTCTATGCAAAACTTGAAATGCATGTATGGTGTTATTCGATTACTTTTCCTGCACAGAAATCCATCGTTGCAGTTGTACGATGCTTCAATGTTGTCAGTTCGGAGTGAGGGACAAACAAAGAAACTTTCGTGGAACTTCAGTTGTGCGTCTCAACTTTTAAACATATTGTATGTGTATGAGTACGCAAGAAGTTTGAATGGCCAAAAATTCAAAATCTTACGTGCGGCTTACACTCCGAATGTCAAAAAAAGATGCGAATTTTGGGCCCGAAAAGGGGATGCGGCTTAGACCCCGGTGCGGCTCCCCGGAAAAGTCAGTCTAGCTGCACCCATATGATTAGTAAAACTATAGAACTCATTCGGTGCAAGTCTTGAAGTATATTTATCCACTTTCATGTGATCAAGTATGTGTCTTTTTCTCAAATTTACCCAGCTTTCCACCTGGACCCACATCATTGGACCTGCTGATATTCTTTTGTTGAAGGCACTGCTCCATGAGGCTGGCTGCAAGAAGGATTATCGTCCTAAACATGCCAAGGTAGCTCTACCCTGGTAAATCCATGCATGTTTTCCATACTTTCTGGATATTTCCTGGATATTTACTTATATGAATGTCGTAATTCAAGCATTCTCCTTGCCAGAACCTTTCTGACATAAAGGCAGAGAGCTTTTCGTCAGAATTTGATGCGTTCCCTGCTTCACCCCGTATGTACCCTCTCTATTGCCCCCCCCCCCCAAACACACACATTCTGCTCTCTCTTCTGGAAATGTTTATCATAATCTACTCTCGCTTCTGTCTCTTTTTCTCTCTCTCTCCCTCCCTCCCTCCCTCCCTCCCTCTCCCTCCCTCCCTCCCTCTCCCTCCCTCCCTCTCCCTCTCCCTCCCTCCCTCCCTCTCCCTCCCTCCCTCCCTCCCTCTCCCTCCCTCCCTCCCTCTCCATGTGCGTGTGTGTGTGTGTGTGTGTCACGAATTGCACAAGTTCTCGAATCAATGCATGACATGATCAAGCTCTCTTACATCCTCACATATTATGTGGCACTATCCTTTTAAAGCCCTTCATATAAGATATCCAAAAGAAAATGGGCTGCACTGCATGATAGTTGTGTCCCCAACCCCAAAATTTGCACCCCTCCTTTAGACTGCAAGTACAAATGTCCATCAGAGTGTGAGCACAATGCAATCTTTATCCCCCCCCCCCCCCCCCCCCCCCCTCTGTAGGAACCCGTTGCCTGCCAAAGGCAATTCTCACAATGCAAGCATAATAGATATTCTGTACCTACTTCTTTGTAGCACTAGCTATTACAAACTGTTTAAGTCGGCAACAAGTATTGCTTTCAATCCACTGGTGAAAATAATGGTCACCCGCAATATGCACTTTCATTCTGAGTTGACATGTGCCTTCAAATGTACGCACCACCTGCATTGCCTTCGGTTGTGGCGTTAGCTCTTAGTGTGATTCTTAGCACTAGTCCTAATCCGAAAATGTTTTTAGCAAGCAGCACACACCGTAGAGCTTTGTAGCCTTTTCTTTTTATGCATAAAATAGTATTTTGCTACTCCCTGTCCATAACAGTTCCTAACCAGCCTCGCACTTTTGTTAAGACTGGTTTGCCATGGTGACGTTGGGAGAAGTATTGGATTTGGAGTCTACCATTATAAAAAAATGTTGGTCATTTTCTTGTAACTGAACTCGGAACTTTTTCTCCTTGTTCAACTCTCTGGAATATAACAATTAATTGTTCCTGTACTTCGACATGCTTATTAACCTGACTGCTGCATGGACGATAAGTGCTGCGAATAGTGATCATGCACCCTGAGTGGCTCACCTGGCTAGCATAGCAAATTGAAAGTCATCGCACCTCGGCCACATAATTATACCAGCACAACCCCAGGCACAAAGCTCAAGTTAGTTGAGTTTGGCTGTCAGGAGGCCAGCATAAGGTATCCAGAAGCGCAAGTCCGATTCCAACGAGGGGCAATGCGGTACCTCGTGTACCCGCAGCAAATGGGCAATGTGATACCCTTCAGCGTGACCCATAAGGCATTCATGTTACGGCATTTTCTTGCCCTGACAGCTACATGTATGTGACCGACGAGTGAGTGAAACCCGATCATCCCTGCCAAGGGTCCATTGGGGGGTCATGCAGGTTTCCCTCTACCTAGTAAGGATTCTGATTGTTGACTTGCAAATGCCTCAGGGGACTTCCCTGTGCATATTGCCCAGGGCTCTATTTATACTTCAAAGTACTTCGAAGTATCACAAACAAAATGTTTGAATAGCGCTGAGCTGAGCATAGGGTGTCCCTACAGCGGCCTAATCGTGTTTATTGCCACAGCCAATTGTGTCTGCTTCCATGCGGTTGCATGTTACCAGTGTTACCACCAGACTGACCCTTCAGAATTATAATACCACATAATTATAATGAAATGATACTGAGTACATGTACAGTCAAGCCTCGTTAGGACGAACTTCAACAGACTGTACAAGTTTTTTTGTCTTATCCGGAGCTCCTCTTATCCAGATCTCACAAAAAAATCAATATGCATATCCAATGCTGTAGACAGCAAGCTGTTTCGGCCATAAACGCCTCATCAGTACAGCTACGAGCTAAATAGGCCGAGCTACCAGCCATGGTGCAAAGGAGGCACCACAGACATTAAGATAGCTCGTCGCTCTAGCGCCAGAGTGCTCAAACTACAAAAAGTAGCGGGCGTTGCGCGATGCAGCAGCACTAGAGCAGCCTACTAGACTGAGAGTGCTCAACAAGGCGAAAGCCGAGGAGCGTGATACCCAATGCTGTAGACAGCAAGCTGTTTAGGCCATAAAGGCCTCATCAGTACAGCTACGAGCTAAATAGGCCGAGCTACCAGCCATGGTGCAAAGGAGGCACCACAGACATTAAGATAGCTCATCGCTCTAGTGCCAGAGTGCTCAAACTACAAAAAGTAGCGCACATTGCGCGATGCAGCAGCACTAGAGCAGCCTACTGAGAGTGCTCAACAAGGCGAAAGCCGAGGAGCGTGATACCCAATGCTGTAATATGCATATCATATGGATTGTACTTATCTGAAGGTGCATGCTGTGTAAGGTCTACATGGGAAGTATTTATTCTTAGCATACATGTTACGTAGATATACTGGCTGTACGTACAATGTATGTATGGCCTCAACTATCGAAAAAAGAAGAAGAAAAACTAAAATGACAGCCAGCTAGCGCTTGCGCACGTGGACCGAAAGTTCGTACTATGCGCTATTTTGTTTTTGTTCAAATCACACTTGAAACTAGTTCGTCTTCGCGAAGGCTCGCCGTACAGGAGATCTTCGTAAACGAATAAATAATTTCGGATTTGACGCCTGGCCAACCATAGGATTGGCCCCAGTCCCTAATAATGTCAAGTTCGCCTTATCAGTGTTCGTCCTAACAGGGTTTGACTGTGGTTGATTCCATATACGAAAGCCATGCTTTGAAAGAATATTTTCATTTGTAAACATGCTTTAAACTTTGTCAATATCAAAATAGCGTTATCATTGGTCTCACAGATACCTTTGCTCGGATGACAATGCCAGGATGGAGAGCACGAGTGCACTCTTCAAGCATTCCCATGCAGTGCTGCATGTAGCCATGCATCATGCAGTAGAGCATGCAAGACATGAAAATGCAAACTGGATCAAGATGAAGCCACGGTGGACAGCAGATTTGTTGTGGAGCCTAGAGCACCGCAGTCACCGTCGTTTGCTCCTGTTGGTAGCAGCTCGCTGTGTACGTGGATTAGACACCATTGCCCCTGCAGGACTGCGTTGATAGCCCCCAGGCTGAGAGCTGAGAAGTGGCTGCATCTGGTATGGATCATCATCACTGTCATTCAACAGCTGGTAGCCTGGCGGACTGAGGCTGGCATTACGGCGCATCTCTTCAACAGTTCCTCCCTGTAGTATCACAGGACAGTAGAGCCAACATTAAAGACCAGCCGATGCCCAAAATAACACGTATCTACTTCAAGTACATGAATACAGTAGAGTGGCGTGCCCAAGAACATTGCTTCCAAGGGGTTAGCCTGGGAGTCTGGGACGTTGTTATTTTTCAGCAATCTTGCTGAATTCTTATACCACATTCTTAGAAACAATTTGTACTGAATCATATGATGTATCCCACAAGCTGCTAGAAAACCAACACTGTCGTTCCTAACTTGAGGCTGTGGTGTTCTTAGCATTTCAGGCTCCACGTTCTTCGACGAGCGACTCTATGTAGAACCTTTCGGGAGTGAGCGGGCTGAGAGCTGTGCCAATGCATGTAGCTTTATTGTCAAATCACGTGTCAAAAAGCCTGATTCCAGTGTACTTGGCAGATGCTGGATAGCATGTTCGGCATCGTTACCATGCACTTGTCCGTACAGTGCGTACACAGTAGTCAAACACTGACTTTATAAATCATGAATGCATCAATTCGTTTAGGAAGACCATTTCAGCTTTAAAATTCACTTATTAAAATGGCTGGTACAGCATGCATGCTCAGTGCAGGTTGGGCAAGCAAACAAACACAACCCAGGTACTGTAAACTGCCTATCGTTCGCGGCATACTAATGTTAGTTTATTTTTGCGACATGAGCATAACGCGAATATTAAACATTGTGAAATCCAAATTCAACAGTGGGTGTGTATGTGTGGCCACAGTGCTCCGTGAACATTCGCCATCGTAAACTCGCTGGTTCCGAGAGATCGCAAAAAAGCGCGACACGAATAATGGGCGGTTTACAGTACACCAAATGCAGGTTGGGTAAGAAGACACACGCGCGCGCACACACACACGCACGCACACACACACACACACACACACACGCACGCACACACACACACACACACACACACACTACCCAGCAGAACCCAAATGCAGGTTGGGTAAGAAAACACACGCGCACACACACACACACACACACACACACACACACACACACACACACACACACACACACAAAACCCAGTAGAACCCAAGGCAGGTTGGGTAAGCAAACACACGCACACACACACAACCCAGTAGAACCCAAGGCAGGTTACACACAACCCAGTAGAACCCAAGGCAGGTTACACACAACCCAGTAGAATCCAAGGCAGGTTGGGTAAGCAAACATGCATAACATGCACATCAATGCACACTCACAGCAGGCATTTCCACCACAACGATGGGATCGATACTGCCAGCCTCCTTGGCTGATGCCAGCATGTGCATGATAGTAATCAAGCGATGCACCAGCATACTGATGAACTGTGTTGCGTACACCAGTCCATACACTAATAGAAACAGTAAGCCAATTGGATTCGTGTCTGCCACCTAACAGAACGCGCGCGCACACGCACACACACACACACACACACACACGCACACACACGCACACACACACACACACACACACACACACACACACACCCCCCCCCCCCTCACACACACACTCGAACGTGCATGCATGCATGCGGACACACACACATATTGGACCAAATTAGGCAGAAACACCTTTCAGACACTATTGAAGACCATGTTTTTCTTACTTATCAGGTATTCATACACGGATATTGTGTGCAAGCAGCACAACACTGCAGCATTCATACAATAAGTTTGTGTTCTCATAGCCGGAAAACTAGACATTTGATGAGTTTCACATCGGACAACCATGCAGTAATTCAAGCAGTGTGCAACATCAGGTTTGCAGTCTTTAGTTATAGAAGAAAAACCCGGTAGGCCCATTGTGGCGGCCCACTCCCAAACCGCATGGTATTTCTATGAAATCCCTACTTTTCACTAAATCGCAACTTGCACTTCTCACAGTTCTGCACTTTCCTTTTTGGTCCTGCGTATCCAAACATAGCCTACGGTGTTTTCTCTCGGGTTCACCTAGGGTTCACCCAGGGTTCACCCGCACCATACCGTGCGTGCTGTGCTTGCATTTCCCCGTATCCTTTTTCGGCACCCTCAGCGGCTTACTTCTGGGGCCCTTTTCCTTTGCAGCCTCTGACAAGATTTGCATTCACTCTCTCTCTCGTCTTCGCGATTGTTAGTAGTTGTCTTTTCTTTTAGTATTTATGTTTATTGTTTTATATTGTGGTGGAAAACTCCCGTTTCCAACAGAACTCAGTGTTTTGTTTGAGTAGACCCCACACCATTTACCGCCCACTCTTTTCTGCTAATATCCAGACTTTTTACTTTTCGAATTTCACGGATGGACGGGTTAGCTGGCGGCAACACAATGGTTAAGACCTGCAAAGAAGATGATAACTTGCAGGGTTGTAGCTAGCTTGAAGAGGGATCTCTGGAAAGGTTTGTGTGTGGTTGTTACTGAAATATGCATTACTTCACACGTGGAGTGGAGCATGTAATGTTAGGCTTATTGCCATTTTCATACTCAACTGTAGCAATGAGTTAGCATAGTGGTCTACTCTTCAATGCCTATGTGCATGGAATGCACACAGAGCGACAACGGGCAAGGCTAGTTTCCCCCTACTCTGAGTTTCATGCTTATGCAATCATCAGGCTCCGCAGAGTTTCATGCTTATGCAATCATCATGCTCCGCATAGTTTCATGCTTATGCAATCATCAGGCTCTGCCGTAGTTAGCACTCTCAGCACTGTGACTGGGTGCATCCTCCGGTGCGTCCTAGTGCAACGTATAACGACAAAGGGAAAGCAGTGGTGTTGATTAACCGAACCATACACTAGTCAGCAAAGCTGTCAGTTTTGAACCGGGGTGCAGCCCAAACTTTTAC